TTGGCCCAGTGCCCTAAATGTCAGTCTGCTGGGTAATCCAGGGTGAGGTACATCTCAGTCCCTTTGGTTGACACCGTTGTATAAACAATTTACTGGATCAAGTGAGAAAAAAACCAAAAGATTGCTTTCTTTTGGTAGTCCCATGGCCATAGCAATCATGTAGGATGACAGAGATTCAGGTTCAAGTCCCAGAACCAGTAAATATTTAATTATTTATACAAAATTGAATGCATTAAACTGTTAGGAGTGAAAGACACTATCCCTAGAATATCCAATGGCCTGCCAGCATAAAGTAAGACACATGGGCTGTGTCCAGATGAGCATGGATGTGCGGTATGTGATGCCACAGACACATCTGCAGTACCACACATTGTATGTGCAGGCATTCTCTGTGCTGCTACCTTACAGCATGGGGGGGGAGGAGAGGGAGAATAAGGTTGACTCTGGGAAATCCTAGGGTCAAAAAAACCTGTGCTAAAAAAATACGGGGCAGCACGCACCGCCCAAAACCAGAGCCTGACTGGCTGGAGCCACACTCTGGTTGTGGGCCAGGCTCCCAGCTGCAGGAGTGCCAGAGCTGCATTTCCCTAAGACCCCCAGGACCAGGACCCCAGGTAAGACTGCTAGGGCAGTACAGTTGCTGGGCCCAGCCTCCCCTAGCCTGTCTGGTGTAACCTGCCACACGCCATAGCACGCATGGCACGGGTGTTCCCCAGGGACCAGTGGCAGCAGCACAAGGTGTACCACTGCTGCTTGTCCACAGGGAAACAACCATCTACGTTCATGTGGACATGGCCATGGAGACTTTACCAACATAAGCACAGGCATCAATAAAGTTAGAGAGCAGCCAAGTGAAGAGGCTGGGGGAAGGGGGCAGAGGGACTGTAATCTCAGGAACATCTAAATATTGCAGTTGAGTGTCTGAATCCTTTGTGGATTCAATCATCGGTGTCTAAGTAGCTGTTTGGGATTGGGTTTTAGTATCTGACCTGGTGAAGAATCATGGAAGCCATAGGTAGGAGAAACAGTTAATTAGAAAGGGTCCAAGCCATAAAGAAAAAAAGATTCAGAAATGCATTCAAATTTTTGGAGCATAAGCTTCTGACATTTTTCATTAATGAAACTGTTTTGTTTCACTTCTTACTGAAATTAACATGAATTCAGCCCCTGAAAGCTAATGAATGTTCCCACTGTCATCTGTCTCAAGGAAAGAGTCACTAATAATACCATTACCTCAGTTTTGGCAGTACTGGAGTGATGTTGTAGCCACAATTGTCCAGGAAATATGCAAGAATTTGAGCGCAATACATTTTTATTGGACCAACTGTATGGTTGGGAGAAATTTCAGACCAGTCTCAATTCACCTTCAAATTTATTTAAAATCTCTTCCAACCAAGCAGTAGGCCCAATAAAAAAATGTCACCCCCCAAAATATCCATGCCTCTTGCATAGCTCAAACTTCACAGTTGTCACTGTGGCCACCCAGAATTTCATGGGGGACAGGATTCAGATCATATTGCTTCAAGACCTTGCTTTAGCAAAGCATCAAAAAGCATGTAAAACAAGTAACACTATCCCTACTCAGGGAAATACTTAAGTGTATACTTAGCTGTAAGCATGTACTTGTGTTTCATTGAAGTTGATTTCAATGAATCTTCACTACCTGTTAGCCAGAACAAAACTATGTTTTGTTTTGTTTTTTTAAATGAACTTAATACAGTGAGCAATTCAAATCCTATTCAGCTGAGGGCAATAACATACATTTGCCTGGACTATTTCAATATGATACGCTCTTATCACAATTTCACCAAGGAGATCAAAGCAATTTACGAATGGAAAGATTAACTATAGGAAAATTATTTGTTCTTTATACAACAAATAACACTGCAAGATTCACCCAGTTACTCAGTTTCAGAGCCAAGGATACATATCAGCATGTGTCCTGACTCCTTGATTCAATGTCTTACAGTAAAATATTACTGATAATAGTAACTTGTATTTACTAGAATATTACAGACAAAAAAGGCAGTTAGTTTCACTGAAGACTCAAATGGGGAGAAGACCCATGTATTAAGGGAGCTGTTGGAGACTAGGTAGAAGGATTGTTGAGGGATCATGGAATATGGATGTATACTGTACTTGTGGATGCTAAAATATTCCCTCTTCTTGTATTTTTTCTTTTATCCACGTGGTGGCACAAAAGAAACAAATAAGAACATGTTGCGATCTGTTTCAATACAAATGTGAAGTGGAGATGTTCTGAGACTGACACAAAAGCCACTAGGGTAATATACACCCAGGAACCAGCTATTGCATCCTTTGTGACAGACTAGACCAGTTGCCTATAAAAACAAAGAAAAACTTCTCTAAAATATGAAGAAAAAAAACAAAAAACACCTCCCCAACAGTAGTAAACAAACATGTGATCAACTCCTGCATGGTGGCTGCAGTGTGTCCCAAGCATGCAAGCCCCTTGTTGCTCATGTACATGCTCCATGCCTAGAAATTTATTGGCAAGGCTGCTCCAGGGTTGTTCCCAGGAGCCACTCTTAAGTAAGCTGGAGACTGAGGTCTTGAGAACAGCTGCAGAGGGACTGAGCGCCTTCCCTGAACTATTTCAGGGCTTGGTGTGTATGAACAAGTTTGGAAACACCCTGGCTGGGACACGTCACTGCCATGGTGTAGACTAGTAGTTCTCAACCTTTTTAGATTCAGAGTACCCTTCACTACCCTTCACCCTTCACCCTTCCGAGGCACCCCTTGGAAAATGCCAGCTCTTCGCTTTCTCTCAATTGTTAACAACAAAAAGATAATAGAACAATTCTTCCGGTGCAAAGAACTCAGAAAGAACACAAGTCAGAATTATGGATTCCTCTTTGAAAACTCTGGGTTTATCTTGTGAATTGTGCTTGCACACCTAATGTGCTAACTTTGCATGACACCCCACAACACACTTGTGCACTGATAAAGATTTTCTCAGACAACTGCAATAGCTGATGATTAACCAACCATATCAGCTGATACCAAGCCAATAACCAATATTTAGTAATAGTGCAAGGTCTTTTAAACTACTGAAAAAATAAACCTTTTTGTTTGTTTGTTTTGCATTTATAATACACATACAGATACCTCCTGCCTGCTCTGGCCTTATTCCCATGCACATTTGCCCCTTCGCCCATGGCTGCTACCTGCAGCCCTGCTCCCTGTGCAGCTCATGCTAGTGTCCTGGGTGGGCAGGGCAGACCCTCATGTGGACAGTGGTGCCGGTCATGTCTGGAGCCCCAGAGCATGCCGCTGCCTCAGTGCTGCCAAGTCCCATGCAGCCAAGCTCCTGCAGCTGCCAGGGAGAAGCTGCTTTTGCAAAGGCGCCCAGTGCCCCGGATTGCGGAATGTCTCTCGCACGGTGCCTTACCCCACCCCACCTGCATGCAACCCAATGCCTCTGTGACAGCCCTGACACTCAGGCCCCTGCTGCGCACGTGGCATTGCCATGAGTGGCACTAGCTGCAGCAGCAGGAGCCAGTACCGATCCCTTTGTTGTTGAGCATGGTGCCCTGTGACTGCTTCCCAGGACCCCCTCCCACTGCTCGCTGGGATCTGTAGTCTGCTACAGGCTTGAGCTGGCAGTGGGATGCAGGGACCAGACTACGCTCATTAGGGTGGTCTAGGCATGTGGCCATAATTAATGGCTACAATGACCAAAAAAGGGAATAGTCGATAACGTAATTTCTCCTTTTATCAGTGCCAAATGGATAGTCAGCTGATGTATTGGTGCACCTCTTGAAAATATTTCAAGGTACCCCAGAGTGCTGTAGCATCCTGGTTGATAATTACCAGTGTAG